TGACTCACTCATTAACAGTCACTTGCTGTCACCTACTGGCCGTTTTAATTTCACATTTAGACAATTTTTTTCTTGTTTTAAATCATTTCAAATATCAGTATTCAACGTTTTATGTTAAAAACAAAACATTAGGCCTATTTATGCATCTGTAACTGCAGGTTAAATCCATCCATGTCCCCTGAGATGCATAAATGGTGTAAATACATCTAAATATCACTTCAGATGCAGATTCCAAAAATGTTTTCTTATGTTGGAATGAAAGACACTAAGTACCGGATGCAGTGCTTCTTATTCTTACCCAAAAATACAAAATGGAAGAAAGAGTTAAAACTGAACACAATCTTGCTACTCAAGCTGTGTATGAACATTTTTTATATATATTTATTTGCTTCTTTTCCATTTTGCACTTACTTGTACTTTTACTTTCAATACTTAAGTACGTTTAAGATTTAAAAAAAATACTTTTCGTACTTAAGTACAATAAATATCACATACTTTAAGACTTTTACTCAAGTAATATTCTAAACGGTGACTTCAACTTCTACCAAAGTCATTTTGTGGTAAGATATCTGTACTTTTGCTTGAGTATGGCTTTCAGGTACTTTATACACCACTGCTAAAAAGGCAGCAAACCAAGTGTGCTTTAGATAGTCAGAAATGTTGTGTAAATTATTTGCAGCAGTCGTTAAACTGGCCTAAACTGACAGCTCGACCTGCTGCAAGAACGAACATCAGTGCATTGATTAAACCGCTCCTGAGTGGATTTGATCGGATGTTAAACATGAATGTCTGTCATTAGATCTCGATGTTGTGTTGTTTATGTTTGTTGTTGTTGTGGAGGGCGGAGCCCGTCTGGGTTAATAAACCGCTGCAAGCCCCGCACACTCACCTGCTTCACGCGTTCGCCGCAGAAGATGCGCCCTGTTGCGGTAAAACCGGAGTAAAATCAGAAAAGAGACGGTAAACGGAATGTAAACATTGAGAGTAATCCGCTCTACGCCGCCATGACGCTCCCCTCTCAGCTGTGCTGCTACGGTCATGTGACGCCGCGACGTCATGACGCACTCATGCACAAGCGCAGTGGCCGAGCGCGTCACGTGACGAGCGTTTTGTTTTGGCTTTAGCGGAGTTTGGATACAGATGATTTTGTTGGCTTTTATCTCATAGTATTGCCATTCTTTTTTGTTTGTTTGTTTGTGTTTATTTGTAGATCTTCTCAATTTGTTATGTTGTGTGTGTGTGTGTTCATTACTGTATGTAGAATTTATCTATTGTTGGTAATTATTTGATGTATATATATATATATATATATATATATATTAATTACTATATTATTATATTTACTAATTTAAAAGCCTTTTATCAGCAACATAATTGGAACAAAATAAATACAGATGAAAGCAAAAATAAGATTCAGACTTCAACTTGTCACCAAAAAGGGACTTTATTAGCAAACTTTCATATCATTGTTTACCATTTAGTCTTACCAAACTGAATTTAAATGAACTTGCACAAGTAGTTATCAAACAAATATACAACCAACAATTTTTCTTCAGTCATACTAGAAAAAAGAAAAAAGAAAAAAAAGACCAATCTGGCCAATCAGGGTTTACTTCTTCATTAAATTAAATTATGAAATAAATCATGATCAAAAAATCTGAATAAAGAAAAGACTCGAGAACGACTGACATTGTGTTATGGTCACATTTAGAGCTCAAGCAGAGAGAAGATCTCATGATGTTCCTGAGATTTTTCTGCATTGTTGGTTCAGGTAAAGTCCTCCTTGAACTCACAGCTCAGAAAGATCTTCATCTTTCTCTCTCTTCACGCTCTGTACACCGACGGAGACGTGATTGTGCTCTTCTCTCTGCAGATCTGCGTCCTCCATCTCTCCATCACTGGGCTCCTGTTTGAGTCGGACTAAACTGGCTGAAACCGGACTACAACCAGTTGGATTCTGAAATATTCTGGTTTGTACTGGTTCTGAAAAACCATCTCGTCTAATTCTAGACCTGTTAACAGAGAGAAAGCAAAGGTTTGTGAATTATATTCATTCTTTGACTCTATAAAAATTTTAAAGGGCATATAATTTAAAGGGCACCTATTATGTCCCTTTTTACAAGATGTATTATAAATGTCAGGTGTCCCTGAGACACTGCTCATGATTTATAGAGACTGAAAAAAAAAGGAGCGGGTGGATTTTTATCATTATAGGGTGGTTGTGTACACACACTGCCAACACACATTTATGTACAACATGTAAAGGTGAATTGTGCATAATAGGTACCCTTTAAAGGGGTCATGAACTGAGAAATCAAAATTCCCTTGATCTTTTGACATATAAGAGGTCATTGTACTATAAAATCATCCTGTACGTTTCAGAACTCAAAACTTTGTCGTTAGTCTAAAAACAGCTGATATTGAAGGCAGTCTGACAAAACCACAGCTTTGTGTGGCAGTCTGACAAAACCACAGCTAGAATGTTCTACTCTATGATGTAATAGTGTGGATAAACCCCGCCCCCGCAGAAGTAGATCAACATCACTGCCTGATTAGCCCCACCCACCAATTCTCCATCACTGCCTGTTTAGCCCTGCCGACCGATTCTACAGCACCACCTGTTTAGCCCCGCCCACCGATTATACATCACTGCCTGTTTAGCCCCGCCCACCAATTCTCCATCACCGCCTGTTTAGCCCCGCCCACCAATTCTACAGCACTGCCTGTTTAGCTCCGCCCATCAATTCTCCATCACCACCTGTTTAGCTCTACCCACTGATTCTACAGCACTGCCTGTTTAGCTCCGCCCACCAATTCTCCATCACTGCCTGTTTAGCTCCGCCCACTGATTCTACAGCACTGCCTGTTTAGCCCCGCCCACCAATTCTCCATCACTGCCTGTTTAGCTCCGCCCACTGATTCTACAGCACTGCCTGTTTAGCTCCGCCCACCGATTCTCCATCACTGCCTGTTTAGCTCCGCCCACTGATTCGCGCATGTAAGTGAAGTGAAGTGACGTGACATGTGGCCAAGTATGGTGACCCATACTCGGAATTAGTGCTCTGCATTTAACCC